CAGATTTGGAAAAACATCGAAGTGATAAACCAGAAAAGGTAATACAGCCAGAACAGAAGGAAACCTCCAGCATCTCATCATTATTTGGATCCCTTGGAGATCTCTTCAAAGTGGAGGCTGTGTCTTCTCAGCCAACCCCAAGTACTACGACTCTGCCAAAAGCCAGTAGCAGAACTGTGGCTGAGTCAAGACAACAAACTAAGAAGTCTGGAGGTCTTCAGAGTGCCAGTATGGCAAGTCTGTCCTCCACCCCTAAGGAGGGGACGAGAACAGAAGGCATGGACAGGCAGGTCTCCCCTAGCCCTGCGGTGCAGATGGAACAACAAAGCAGAAAAGCTGAGGAGGAGTCTCCTGAGAGTAAAAAAGTGCCTCCTGGAAATGCTTCACAGAAGCCAATGGGCGTAGGTCCCAAAGTAAGCCAGTTGAGTCAGTCAGCTGTGCAGCAAAGCAGCGTACCCTCCGTTAAACCAAAGCAACAAGGAGGAAATCTTTTAGGAGGCCCAGCTAATCAGGCAAAACCAAAGCCAGCTCAGGCACCTAAAGAGTCAGGTTTCAGTTTGCCATTCAGCTTTTCTGATATCACTGCTTCAAAATCACAGCCAGCACAGCCAGCCAGTAGGAGCATATTCTCCTTCTTCACTGGATCGGACGAACCAAAGCCTTCAGCACCTGCTACAGCTCCTGCTAGTGGGAAGCAGCAAGAAACAGAGGGGCTGTTTCACCTGCCCTCCTTCTTCTCCAGTGGTGCAGCTGCTGAGAAGAGCATACCTCAAAGAAGCACCAGCTTTAGCTTCTTCAATTTGACATCCTTTTTGGATGAAAAGCCACAAACTGCTCCAGGACAGGAGAATAATGCAAAACCAACTAAACCAGTGAACTCTAAGCCATATGTGAAGCAAAATATTTCCACTGACTCTGGTGTCAAAATTAGCAGTTCTGCCAGGCAACAAGCTGCAGACAGTAAAAAAGAAGTGGATGATATTATCGCAGCAGTGACTGGCAAACAAATGTCTAATAACCTCATAATCCCAGAAAATAAATCAGAAATGCTGGCAGTGGAAAATGTAGAAAGTGTTGCGGGGGTAGCTGAAGAGAGTGACTTAAAGAAGCTTCCACAGCCCGATGACACTGCAGTAACCGATTCAGCTGCTTCTGGTCCTTGCCTTCAGACTCACAGTGTGCAGGAGGGTTCTCAGGTCCAACAGACTATTTCCTTAGGGGCAGAAGAAGAGGCTTTGGGTAGCACTGGGAAAACAGACAGTGTTGCATTTCCCATTGATAAAGAAGAGCCTTATTCTTCAAAAGAACAAGCTTCCGAAAACAAAGACTACAGTGTGGCCTTAGATGATAAAATGAATGCCCAGTGTCTAAATGACTTAAATATTACAAGTGGCATAAAAAATGAAGCAGTCCCTGAGGAAGTATGTGTACAGCATGAGTTGCCAGAAGATAAATTACCCAAACAGACTCTGGGTGACGGGTTACAACAGGCACAAGAGCTACACTCTCCTTCTGAAATGCCAGAGGCATCTAAATTGCAAAACAAACCTAAGGAATCTGAGAGTGATAAATCGGTGCTGGATTCTTCAGTTGAAATGTTTTCAAGTTTCATGACAAAAATGAAACCGCCTAAAACATTATCTGGTTTCTTTTCCCAACCTCAAGCTACTGCACCTCCTACTGCACAGAAGAAAAGCTCCTCTTTCTTTGGTTTCTCATCCCTCCCAAGTGGCCCAGCACCAGCTTTCACAAATGATCTCTTTGGCATCTTCAAAGGTCCAAAAGAATCTCCGAAAGAGATGCCTCCAAAATCCACCCCTAAACCTCAGAGCAGTAGTGTGAAAGATGCTACTGGGTCTGTTCCAGCAAAAGACTCCAGGGAGACAGAAAATACAGCTGCAGCCAGAGAGTCTAAAAGAGATGTCACGAGCTCTCTGAAGGAGGATATGTTACCTGTTTCAGCAGAAGAGAACTCCACAAAAGAGCCTCCTATGAAAACAGAAACCAAGGAAAATAGGAACTCAGAAACCTGTAAAGAGGAACCTTTCAGGGTCACTCCAGAAACAGCAGTATCTAGTGAAAATCAAGCCCTCAAAGTCCTGCAATTGGATCGTGATGCACAACCCTCTGAGGTGGTAGATACTAAGCCATGCCAGTCTGATTTCAGTAATGCATTTGATACAGTGCAGGCTGAAGGCACCGACCAGACTGATGTAAGTACCTGCCAACTAGATGTTGGGTCTTCACATATAACAGAGGAGCAGGCTGCTTCTTCAGACAAGGCATCCATTGACAACCTTCAGACTGGCTCTTCTGATGGGCTTGAACTGGAAACGGAAGTCCCAGCTGATGAAGCAGACACAAACCTCTCCCAATTGGAAGAGAGTGCTACACTTGAATCAGAGCCTGCTGTTCCAGGGGATCAGGCCAGTGCTGGAATTGATCAGCAGGACATGATCGATAGTAATGGTAGAGAACCCACAGCTCCAGCTGATGAGCCCAGTGTTCATCTGCTCCAGCTGAATGAAGAGAAGACAAGTGAGGGAGAACAGCAAACTGCTGCACAGGAGAAACATTTAGCAGTTGATGAGGTACCTGCAGAAGGGATTGCTTCCAAATGTGACTTGAAGAAACCGGCTAAACCTAGTAACATTCCTCCAGATGCAAACAGTAGTAAAATGGTCTTTGAAATACCAAACATTCCCAGTTTGCCAAAATTCAGCTTTATGTCATCTGCTGATAGTGGAAAGCCATTTGGGTCATTCTTCTCTCAGCAGCCACCTTCTGTTAATAAAGTGGGAGCAGATCAGGGCCTCATGTCCAGCTTTAAGAAACTTTCTTCAACTCTGTTTGAAGGAGGTAGTGAAGAAAAGGTGAGTAAGCCAGAGAGCGCCCAAGGAGCAGTATTTGGGAAAAAACTAGATTTCTCCTTTCCCTGGCAAAAAGACAACAGGGAGACCTCTGCCAAAAGGGAACCACATGTACCACCACAGGCTTTGTCAAAACCAGATGACAAGGTGTTAGGAACAGTCAGTTCAGATGAAAACTCAAAATCTGCAGTCTCAGATCAACTGACTGATGCAAATATAGAAGTAAACTTGTCTTCAAAGCAGCCTGACACAGTAGACAATGAACTTTCTGAAGAACCATCTGGTGCAAGTGCTGCTGCTGATACATCCAGCAGAGGGCTGGGAGAGAAGTTTGATAAAGAGTCAGAAGATCAGCAGAACTTGATTTCAGGTGAACTGCAGAAAGAAGATTGGGCGGAAGAGCATGTACCAGATGAACCTGAACTGAAAGAAACTGAGCTTGGTTCTGCTCCTAATGGAGCAATGCTTCATCCTAGCACACAGGCTGCAGATCTGAATAGTGTGGAACAACTGAATGCGAAAAGGCTAGTTACCAATGAGGCATAATAAATGGCTCCAAGTTTTTGCCCATTTATAATGCAGTACTGCAGCAGTAGATATTGGCCTCCGTGTCTGATGTTTGTAGCTCAGTCCCACCCCCTGTTTGTTTTCAAGTGTTTGTAGTATTGCTGATAGCTGTCACAGAGGATGTGACAAAGCGCAGTCACTGGTTGTGTACAAGCCCTTAGACTATTTTCTCACCTTTTACCACTCTCTTCTGTTTCTGTGAGTGTAATTGGATTTCCCATGTTCTTATACTGTCTCCCACTGAATGATACGCTTATAGTGCTTATTTCATTAGCCTTTCAGAAGTTTCATTCTTTGTCCATTAATTCTGCTGCATACAATGCACTTTGATTTCTTGTTTAGTGATAATTATGTTGTAGTTGCTAGAAAAAAATAACGGTAGAACATATTGGAAGGAATGAGTATTTTGGTTTCAAAATGCAAAGTAAAGGCTTTTAATTTTAGAAAGAAATTTAACTCACTGCCAATTTATTATAGAACTAATTAGGTTCATTTCACATTATTGAAAATTTTAAAACTTTTTCAGCTGTATCAGTGAAAGTATTCTAATGCTTGCTCTTCCTAAAATCTGTGCAAAGGTTATTTCGTGCAGTTAGGAAAGCTGCTAAAGGAAGGTATCAGTATTTCATGAATCTGTGTTCAGTCCTGTATATGTGTTAAGTTACAATTGCCCTCAAAAATCAAAACAGAGACTTGCTAAACTTGCATCTCTGCCCAATGTAAGTGAAACTTGAGCCTCTGATCATACAGTTGCAACACTACACTCCCAGAACTTCCCATCTGGCTTCAAATTCTCCTACTTGTGCAAGTGTGAGAAACATTAGTGCTGCTTAATTCTTGGCTGCAGATTTCCTGACTGCATGAGAAATTTCCATCTGCTGCATTTTGTGTGAGGGTTCTAGGAATTCAGTCCTGGAAGTGGTGTCTTGAATCACAGGAACACACCCCAGTGGCGTTGTTTTTTTTATATGAATTAAATTATTGAAAAAACTAAATGAGACATGTGGCTTCCCTTTGAGCAATTGCTCTACTTTGGTAAAAGGTTTTAAGTTGATAGTCTTGACAACCTTAATGCTGACTGCAATGTATTTTATCATAAATTTATGATATATATAAAAATAAAGTTAACTTTACATTAACTGTACTTCTTAACAATAGTCAGCCTGAATAGTCATGGTAAAGACCTTAGCTGCAGTGAAACTGCAGAAATCAGAAACACTTCCACTCTGAATCGCTATGTTTCCATTCTTACTCCTGTCTGGTTATTAGAATACTTTCACTGTCAATTTCTAGCTGATGTAAGGTGAGGAAGTCATCAGCTGGGGCAAGGAAGACCTTTGGCATATATGGTCCATATACTGGTAGGAAGCATTTCTACTGCCTACCCAAGTTTTGAGGTTCAGAAGTCTCAATCTAGTTCAGGGAGCATAATAGTCAAATATGACTTTGCAACATATCTTTTCAGTAATATTTAGTGTCCCACCCAGTCTGTTAGATGTGCAGATTGCTTTGCATTTCTCTAAGCCACTGTTTTTTCTGATGGACTTTCTTATTCTCTCATAGTCCTGCTGGCAGTAGTAGATACGGCTCCTCTTGTAACGTCAGCCAGGGAAGCTCTCACCTAAGTGAGCTGGACCATTCCCATGAAAGTGCCCATGGCTCTGAGCAAGAAGATGATCACCAGGAAAGAGAGTCGAATCATTCCTACCACAGTTCGGGCAGCTACCAGAAGGATGGTCAGGCATGGCTCAGGGAGCAAGAGGAGCCTCACGGCAAAGGAGAGGAGGAGAAGGTCTGTGAGACAGAGGAGAAACCTGCAGACCATTCTGCAGCTAAGTTACCTCTGGAACTTGAGAAGCCCAAGGATGTTGATGCAGGAGCCCAAGTGAGGTAGGTGAAACTACTAACGAGTTATTTTCAACTAATGTAAAGATGATTCCTCTCTTTGATATTTCCTGGGGCAAATTGTCTACATTGCTCTTGCAACCTTCTCTAACAACTAACTTGATGTTGCTGATCTGTGAAACATCTTTATGTGCAGGACTGGTTATTTATGAGACATTGGCTAAGCTTAAACTGTGTATGTAAAGAAGAGTGCCTGCTAGTGCCTTGAAGCTCATTTGCTGTATTTTCTGTTTCTGGATTGATGAATGTAGTCTGGCCCAAAGATAGCTGCTTCTATTGCTCATGTGTGATCAAGCTTACGTGTGAGCAGTGAAGAACTACATGTAGTCATGGTCAGAGCTACACTAGTTCCTTTCTTGTTTAGTGTTATGTAGTTGTAGGTTGTAGAATTACAATATGAATAGATACGTTGTTCTGACTCACTGTGGCAGCTTTTCTTGTCCTTGCACTTGGGCTTTCCAAGCTGTTAGCTGTATTGAAAACAGTCTTCAAAGTATTTCATGTAAGTTTGGGGGAGTAATGTGCTGGGTTTTGTAGAGTTTTTACAGGAGTTTAAAATTTCACTACTTAGCTTTGGGAATGAATTTTTTTCCTTGAGGTAATCAACTCATTGCAGCCCCTGGTGTGCTTATGGTTATATTTTCATAAGTATGAGGGATTGCTTTCATCTGGTTCACTTGGATCCATGGAAGGATGTCTGCCTGTCTGTAACCTTTGGAGGGTACAGCTGGTGTCACTGTGCTTATATGAGAGAATTAACCATAGCAGTTCATGTGTAGGCAACCCTTACACTAAAGATGTAAAAAAGGAAAACAAGACTAGAAAAAGTGTTAAACTGTTTTTAAACTCTGACTCACTTTCCTCTTCTCCTTGCAGAGCAGCAGGAGTCTTGTCCCAGAATGGCTGGCCTATATTTGTTCACAGGGAAGGTTATTCACATAGTCTATTTCAGGCTAATTTAGGCATCTAACTTGGATACTCCTGCATCACTGGCTCCCTTTCTCTCCATTCTCTGGCAATGGTTTCCTGTCTCCATGGAGTATGCATGGAACTCAGCTCTGAATGTTGATCCTCAGAGTTGCACCGGAGCTACATGTGTAGCATGGGTGCGTGTTGCTCTCAGCTGTATTTTCCTAATACTGTAAGTATTAGGGGTGCTTTGCAGACAGGGAACAATGTTTGTTTCAGTGATTTACACCTCAGCAGCATACTAAAGAAGGAATGCAACCAAAGTCCCAGTATATCATGAGGTTAGGTAGTGTAAAATGTGCTGTGGGGCACTGAGATGGAGCCTTCCTGCCAGATGCACATGCCCTCTTGAAAAGCTGTAGGAAGGGGTGAAGCTGTAGAAAGGTGCAATGAATGGGGAAAAACACAGCTAAGCCCTGTGGCCAGTGTTTCCACTGAAGAAGGTCTGTAAATTTGTAGCAGTGGCAGTGAGTAGGAAAAGGCAGTGGTTAAAAGGGTCCATCAGCAGGCATGGGGATGGAAAATCTTCCATCTGCCTCTTTATGCACACAGTTGTGATACCAATGTGTTGAACTGGCTTTATCAGGTGTCTTGGATTGTTTTCCTGATGTTCTGACCAACATCATCTTAGTCCTGGGGCTGGATTGTATCCTTGCTTATATCTTTCAGCTCATCAGTTTCCAAGATGGTTCCTGTGTATGAGGAAACCTCTTCTTTAGCGTCTCACTTCCCAGAGCATGTGCAATGCTGTGTTGACCGGAGCCTGTTGGTTACTTCAGCTTCCAGAGCTGAGGCTGTGATTGCACTGTGTAATGTTGAATCTTTAATGCTCCAGATGAGTGTTTTTCATACAGTGATTTTCTATTTCTTGTCTTTAAGCTACCATGGTGACAATGAGCTACCACCATTTCCTCCATCAAGAGCCCATTGGATCAGAGCCATTAGCAAAGTTCGACTGCGGCTTCAAGAGGTAGGATGGAGTGTTGCTTCGCTCCTTCTCTGTGCTACCTGGATTTTAGATCTGTGGCTGAAGGTTTCCTTTCTTCTTCCTTGTAAGACACTTCTTACAGCTTTGATGTTTTGCAGACAAAAATTTAATCAAATGTATTGTATAGGACTGCAGCATGTTGTGGTGGTCCTACAGCTATCTAATTCTGCCAAACATTTTGAACATATTTGTGTGGAACTAGAGATGAATATCAGAAAAGATGCAGAAGCAGAGAAATTAGGTCTGAATTTGTAAACAGTGATAATAATGTCTGGGACTAAATGGTGTGTGTTAAACTGTTAGAAATGAAGACTTTTTCTCAAGGCAACTTGAGGATAGCTTGTTAGCTTAGTAGGAGTTATCTGTATTATTTGTCGTGTGAAAATGTTCCTTGGAAACTTTACATCAAATATTTTTATATATACTAATTGAAAGTGGGTGTATAATAAGTCTTGGTATTTCCATCTCATGAAAGAAAGATTTAAAAATAAATAATCTTGATTTGGGAAGTCAAAAGGAAAAGGTTGTGACATTTTCTTCAACAGTATAAACACTCTTGTTTTAGAAAACAACGATTAAGACCCAAAAAGTTGTTTTTTCAAAAAAAATTCTTATGCTTTCATCCATCTGTATGCCCACAGAAAGATAACATATGGTGTTCATATTCTATAGATGATAAACTATTGCCTACTACCCAAAGTGCAGAGTTAATATATTTCACTTGGAAATACTACTTTCTTCTATAGCTCTCTTGTTTTTTTTCATAAGAAATTATTTTACAGTATCTATCAGTAGCAGGGCTTTCCTTTCTCTTCTGGATTTGTTGCAAATTTTTAGGAAAACAATTTTTTTGGGGGGGTGGAGGGGTGGTCTGGGAGGCATCTGAAACACCATAGCAGAAATAGTTTTTCTCTTGGCTTATCTGGACTGCAGAATTCTTTCCCGTCTAACAATTACTGTGTTGCTTCACTTCTGAGCAGAAGGGATTCGGGTCAAAACTGCCAGTATGACATGGAAAGTGAAATTTAAGAACACTGTTAGCATCTAAGAAGAAAAGGAACTTCTGTTGTGGTTTTGCAGAGCATGCAAGCAAAACAGTTTAGTTCTGTGCCTTATGGAAGACAAGTGCACAAACGTACCAGGAGGGACAAGAGATTCAGTGATGCCTCTCCCTGGATCTCTTTTTTTTCTGAGAGAGTACAGGGTCCTTGAGGGGGTTCAGCATCAATCTGTGTTTCTGCTGAATTGGAAGGAAGACATGCTTTGAGATGACTGTTACGGAAGCACTGGTTTAATTATGATAGCAAAATGTCCTGATTTGCTTTGCCTTGGCCTGTTGACTCCCTTACTACAAAAAACATGAAGAGATGGAGCTTTCCAGCAGCATACTCCAGGGCTTAGCTGTCTTTACTCTCCAAGGGCTTTTTCTAACCTCTGCTGCAGATATCTCTTGTGCCATATAAATCCATTTCTCATGGTTAGGCCAAGGAGTGAAGGAGCAGAACTGATTCCCTTCCTCTCTGGAATAGTGAAGGGCTGCTGCAAAAAGAGGATGAAGCCCCACTTGCTCTTCTTATGTTCACTGAATGACACTTTTAGACTTTTCTTGTGAGGTTTTCTTTCAGGCACTCTTTAATCAGCCCGTCTTTTTTTTTTTTTTTTTTAAATTTCCTTTCTTTGTTTTTCCTGAAGTGCAGTGTCCAAAGTTGAATGTAGAAACCCAGCTGAGAGCCTGCCCACGTGTACTACAGAGCAAGGGAGACTTTGTTCCCCAGGCTGTGATCCTGATATCCCAAGATATCAGGTATCCTGCTGTGATGGTGCCTTTTTATTGCAGATGAACACTGATGCATAGTTAGCCTCTTAACCTTTACAGAGCTGAGGTTCCTTCTGAAGAAGTGCTTTGTCAGTTGTTCCCTAGCCTAATTTGTGTTGGAATACAGCTGAATATGGCTTTGCACTTGTTCTTACAGTATGTTTTTTTCACTTCTTAAGCACATTGCTGTCTGTCTTCCTGATCTGTTGTTATGCCTACAAATTCTTCAAGTTGTATGTGAAAAAGTTGTGTAGTACCCAAGCTTCCAGGCTGTGTGCTACCAGAGGTGCCTGGGGGACCCTGCTTGATACATTCTTTGAGTTTGTCTGCCCTGAGTATAATTTTTTCCAGTGTGTTTGCATCTATTTTAGCAGTTTCATCCAGACCTCAGGGTATAAAACTTCTACTGTTCTTCTCCTATCCCTAAGACTAATTTACCTTGTCATAGAATTTAAATGCATTTGACTCAGTTCTACTCTTGGTGAAAGTATGGTCGCTGTTATTTCTCTCTCTTTTTATGTTCTAGAAGATTGGCAAAGAATTTGATTATTTGTTCCAGTCTTCAACTCCCGGGGTGGGGAGGGGGGGGAAGTCAAATTAGTGCTTCCATAATTATTCAAGTCTTCCTCTTCCTATCTTTTAAGCATAAATGCTTGCTTTGCCCTTTTCAAATTTCAAGTGCATTGCCTGTTTTTCAAGTTCTTAGCACTTTGTGGTCATCAGTGTTGCAACCTAGTACCTGAGGATGAAGATTTATCAGGGCCAGCTGACTTAGAAATAACTGCTTTATCTGTTTGCTTTCAAATTTGTTTTCCTTTGCTGCAGCCTGTTTTTATAACTTGCTAAACTTCTTTCCCTTTTTTTTAAAAAAACAATATTAATTCTGTCAGCTGCCTGACTTCAGTTGTCTCTGTCAGTGAAGATCTGAAGAAATTAAGGCATCAAATATTCCAGCCTTCTTAATGCCACCTGATGATAGCTTTGTCTTCCTATGAGTAGCAGCCATGAGTTTTTTGTCATGTGTTCACTGCTAGGTGTTTAATTTTGTGCTTTGGCCTTTTGATTTCTTCCCTGTGCAAGCATGCTTGTCTTTAAAAACTTCGTCAAGAAGGTATCTGTAGTTTAAAGTTCAAGCCCTCTGAAGGGCTTGTGATTTTTTTGAACAGGTCTCATTGTACACCCTTTCCTTCCTCTTCACTGGGATGGCTTGAGATTTTTGCCTGTTAATGCTGTTTGTTAACTGTTAACAGCTTCCTGAATTCCTGGTCCTTTAAGCTTGTTTCTCATGAGCTCTAGCTACTGATTTTCTGAGTTTTTATTTGTTTGTGTTTTTGAATTCCATAGTGTTTGTCTAGCTTGTGTAATTCCTTTCCTAGTATTAGGTAATTCCTAGTATTAGGAAGACTGTCACAGTTTTCTCACATGCATTTACATCCTTATTTCTCTCTGCACTTTTGCTCAAATCTAGAAGAGCATCTATGCTAGTTGCTTTCTGTGCCTGGTGCATTGTCATCAGCTCATTCCTAGATCTTGTTTGAAAGTCAGTGATATGAATACAGACTATCGAGATATGTATCAGGATTTGAAAGGTCCCTGTGATGACAGTCCAACCAGGTGATTCTGCTGGTAGTTAGAAAAGGTCATGTCTTATTTCTGTGATCACCTTATTAACATCTTCCCATCTTCTGTCATTACCTAGAAGCTTTCAAGAGGACTATCCTCTTTTCTTCCAGCACTGCAGCAGCTGCTTATGCACTTAACGTTCAAAGCAATGCATCTAGCTCTTTTCCAAGTTCCCCTTCCTCAATGCGCAATATCATTTCATTAGTATGCGTGGAGCTCCAGCTTACTGTGCCGAACTACTGGATTCCTCTCACATAGACTACTGAAATGGTTCTTATGACTCTTAATTGTTAATGATCTGGCTGAAATTTGAAAGAAAGAAAAGAAAAGAAAAAAAAAGTCACCCAAGAAGTTTCCATATGTGATGTGATTATAAATCCCCTGAGCAATTCAGCCTCCTACCTGGGAAGAGATTAATATTCATGTGAATAATATACATGCATCCCACAGCACCATGAGTCAGAGAAATGTAGTATTTTAATTAAGACTTGACAGTTATAAAATGGCACAGAAATTTGTAACTTTGCATGTTGAAAAAGCTTTGTGGTAGCATGCACAGGTTTTTTTTTCTTCACTTCTGCTGTTTTCCTTGTTCTTTTTCTGTATTTGTGACGAGGAAGCTTAATTATGCCAGAATCAAACTAGGGTTTTCAGCCCTGAGAGGAATGACTCAATAATTCTCACCTTCACACTTAGAACTTTGTCTACAAAGAGGGATTAATTGATAGCTCGTCTGCTGCCGTCCCTCTGTGGGAGCTTCTTTTCCAGAAGAACAACAAACACACAGCTATTGCATCTTCAGCTTGCAGCGCTCCTTAACTGAAACAGCCTTCAGCTAGGGACAGGGCTGTGTGACTTCTAGAGTCACACAAATTTGAATCTGAGCTCTGTATAACACCAGAGGGTGTGGGGTCTGCAATTTTATCCACTTACATAGAATTTAGTCTCCTCTGTCAGGAGACTAAATATATCAATTCACTTGTTTTCATTTCAAAACTGTTGTCATCGGGGCAGTGTTTCCTCTTTATTTTTTCTTCTAGATGCCATTTTATACCAATTATTTTGATTTTAATCTTTGTCTTTCCCTGTTAAATGTCAGTAGTCTGTTCTTTTTGACTGCTATGTGACTAGATCACATACTGAGATGGCAGATGTAGTTCATGACATTGTTTTTCTGTAATATGATAAGCACTTGCAGCCAGGAGACTGGAACCCAGTCATATCCTCAGTCTTATTTTCTCATGCCCCATAGTTTCACAGTCAGCACTTCTGATCAAGCACCTGCAAATATTTGAAACCATCAGGGTCTCACTTTTAAAAGCCCTGGTCCAGGGAGGGTGTTGTATGGGTGATTTTGGGGTGTGAAGCCCTGTTTTTATTTTGAGAAAGAAAGCTGTTGGTGCAAACCACCACTATTCCCTTCTGATGTAGCTGTGGGGTGCCCTGAAGAGTTCTTCCTGGACTTCCCATGTTCCACTGTTAGTGAGGAGACCAGCAAGGCACTAACTGGTGACGGGTTTGTTTGATTGTAAGTTATCCAACT